AGGATTTGTGAGAGGTTGGTCGACCGAGAATGAAGAGCTGTAGGGCTTACTAATATGCCCCGAATTGTTGACGCTTAGGGCATTTTTTTTGTCAAAGTTATCTGCAAGAAAGTTTTTCGAGGCATTCCTTGTGTTTTAGTTCTTGAATGGATTGTAATTCACAATTTATTTTGAAAGTATGCATCAATTTGTGGCCTTCTTTTGTAAAATATATCTTTACTTTAGTTGAAACTATGTCCCATATGACAACTAGTACAAACACAGAGGATTTTTATTCATATCATCTATGAAATAACACATCCTTAGATTCAAATAACTTGCCAGTCTTTCAGTTCACATTTACTGCACTTGAATGAGTTGTAGTTGTCAAATTCATGTACTTAGTTCTTGAATGGATTCTAAATCACAATTTATTTACAAAAGAAGTATGTACTAATTAAGTCATTGTCATCCTGTCAATTTATTCATCCTTCTTGAATTTATGATGAATTGGGATTGTTGATGGTTGGGAAAAATAGAGGAATTTGTCATTCTTGCAGGGGGGGCAAGACACACGATGCGGGAATGTCCAAAAAAGAGGAGATGCCCAGACTTTGGAAAGGGGTTTGTTAGATGGTTGGAGGTAGAAAAAAATTCCAAGAATCAAGGGAAGTTGTTCCATTCTTGTACCCGCGACTGTAGGTTTTCAAGTTTTGTAAAGTTTCGCCCAACGAAGAGTATCAATTGCAAGGTGAATCAAGTGGCACTATGAAAGGAAGTGAATCTGTCCGCGATTTGTCCCGTATGTTGAAAGTGTGTGCAAAAATAACTAAGAAGAGGGACTTGGAGATTTCACTGAACATTACAATGAGCAAGGGAAAACGAGTTTAAGAAGATTTAATATGAATTATGTGCATTTGTGTATTTTGTGCATTTTATGGATGTATTTTGACTGGATGTTAGCAATTATGCAATTGCAGTTGGTAAATGGAACTGAAAGAAGTATCTTCTTATTTTGTAATGTTTCTTGAAGTAAATTAATCTAAATTGGTATTAACTTTTTTAGGGGCATGAATTTAATTAATTGTAACATTTCTTGTATTTCTGTTTAGTTGTATTTAAGATTTTAATCATTTATTGGATTCAAAAAAGAATAGAAAAAGAGGGAGAACATTACAGGGAGGGAGAGAGAGAGAGAGAGAGAGAGAGAGAGAGTAAACTGATTGGAATTGCTTTGTACACATAAGAACATTACAGTGCAAAATTTCAGTCTATTAAGAACATTACAGTGCAAATACAATAACTTATAGTTGACTGCAATTGATAGCAGTAGACAAAAAAAAAAAATGTAATTGCAGCTGGAGACTTCCAAAATGTAAGAGAAAACAAAAAAACTCTCATTTGCCACCAGCACCTCCAAGCTTAGCACCCGCTTCCTTTGCTTCTACATAAACTCTCCTATGCGCCGACATGTTGGGCAGGGAATGTGTTTGTCATGGAAATGTCCTACAAGTTAAATGAATAACATCATTTATAGTGCAAAATTCCAGTCCCATACACGTCTCGAGATCAAATAAATAAACCAAAAACTCCTAATCCAGAAACCAACTGCGAATTAGCACATCGCTTAGTGAACAAAAATGAACAAATGACTCATAGCCCCAATAAGTTCAAAGAAACAAACAGTACGGTCCTCAAACAATAAGCAGCCTGGTTTACTACATGAAATAAAAGGATATTGGTTAATGAAATACCTGAACATTGATTGGAGGCGGAAGATCATCGTATTCTAGGTGTCTTTTCGATGTACTTGGGTTAGATGCCACCTGCAAAACATGAGAAATAACAATCACATTAAATATGTATAGAGGTTGTGTACACAAATAAAAAAAGGCTGCAATTTTTATGCCTTACGACAACTTTTTGATTTCTTCGAACTAGATTCTAGATGTCCTTTCCGACGAAGTATTTTGGGATTTCCCTTCCTTTTTGTGTATTTCGGGTCGAAGATGACCCCGCTAGCGCACTTTTCAATTTCACCAATGCATTTGAAGCCCACATTCGTAGGCTTCACCATCGATGCCTCTATTGTTTGGCATTCAATCCACTCCACAATTCCATGTGATCGAGATTCGTCATGTGCTACCGAATCAACTAACTTCGTAGATGCATTGCACATTTACTCATATCTAACTTGGTCTGCAGTACTAATCCAACCATCATAATTGATCGGCACCCTAGTGTACGGTCTGCTTACATCTTTCCTCCATCTATGTAGTATGTACTTCTTGGGAATTAATTTAACCTGATTTCGGATCAAAATTGCAAATGCGTGCTTGCAAATAATTCCTCTGAACTCAAACAAGTGACAACTGCACTCGAAGTCACATTCATCCTTACGTAGGCGCACTTTAAACGTAGTTGTCCTCATACAGTCATTGACAATAATATCCTCACGTATGTCGTATGTAGTATGCATGTAAGAATCGTAAGCGTGTAATACTTCACAATACACCTTTCCAGTAAACTGTTCTTGGAATTCCCTGAACTTTGATATTGTGTAAACTGATTGGAATTGCTTCTCCATTTCGTACTTTATCGCACATGGGACCATTTGGGAAAACGATTTGAAGTCAGCTTGAAACTCTTTTTCAATTTTACTTCTCAATGCACGCTCGTACTGCTCCACAAATTGTTTTAAGGATATTTTGGTATGAACATATCCATCAAAAAATGCATTAATACCCTCACTTCGTTGTGTGGTTGGCATACCCGTCCAAATTGAACTTTTCAAATAGCATGGCACCCATCGACTTCTTTCATCGTATAAACCTGTCAGCTAAGCATGTTCGTGCAATTCGTAATATTGGAGCATCTTATTCCAACCTTGATCAAAATCCTATCAAGTTTGTACATCATACACAAACCAATGCACAACGTGAAAAATAGAATATTTATGTCTATGTCTGCCGAATTTTTCAGGTAACTTTTTTAGAATATGCTACAAGTACCATCTATGCTTTGTGTTCGGAAACACGATTTCAATTGCATTTTGCATGGCATGATCTTGATCTGTAATTATTCCATTTGGTGTGTGGCCATGCATACATTGAAGCCACATCTTGAATAGCCATACGAAAGTCCTTGTATCCTCATTTGAGACCAAACCACATCCTAGAAGATTGTCCATGATGATTCACCTCAACAAATGGAGCGAATGACATTTCGTACTTGTTAGTCAGGTACGTGGTGTCAAATGTAACTACATCACCAAATTCCTTACACACTTGCCTGCACCTGTTATCCGCCCAAAATACGTTTCTCAGTCGACCATCGTCATCCAAGTCTATGCTATTATAGAAGTCAGGACTAGTTGCTTGCATCTTGGAAAAATACGCTGTATTTCAGCGTTGTCTCCTTCACCAAGCCTTAAACGCCGGACTTTATCAATGAAATTCCTACAATCTTTCTCAACGCATGTAATCTTTTCATACCCACCGGCTTCAACTACGGCAGAATCAAAACTTTTGTGCAGTGGTATTCTAGCAATGTCATTTATTTAAAGCTGTCTTTTCACGCGTGCACTAATCTCGCGATTGCATCGATATAGCCTTGATTTCGATGAGCTCGTTCTATGATTGTGCTCCAAATGGACAGTGTTAATACGCCATGCGCCGTGAGTTCAGAACATGCTGTCAATCTTGCTTTACAGCCAGTTTGCATGGTTGGTTGAATTGTATTTGAATTGTATTTGTACTGATTGTTCGACTACCTTCCCGACTACATGTAAAAGTCACGTAACGTACAACTCCGTCATCACCCTTCTTCGAATTCCTTTTTCGCGTCGAAAATCCGATTTGGTTAGTGTAGTTCTTATAAAATTCGAAAACCTCATTTTCATCTTTAAACTTCATTCCAACGGCGGGCACAATAATTTCCGTTTCATCACCTACGCTTGTATCATTCGGATCGTCCTCTTCAGATGAAAGAATTTGCAAATAACCCACATTGACGAAAAATAGACAATAATCAATTTAAGTCAATCGAGTATTGAAGTAGTGAAGTACTTTTCACATGCCATCATTCAAAGAAACCACAAGGAAATTTAGTTGTGGCCATCATTCAAAGTCTCTGACTCCAGAAAACCTCTCCGTACATATATAAATCTTAAACCGACAAATAATTTTCACAAGAACCAGATAGGACTCGAGAAACCATTTACCATGAAACTACTACAAAGTAGAACAAAAGAAAAAACCTATTCAAGAAAGACAGAGTGCAAAATTATAGTTTCCAGCCCTTTTACCGTGCAAAATTATAGTTTCCAGCAATAGAAGTTGAAAATTAGGTTCAAACAAATCTTACATGTGCCATCGTCGGCGTTGAGGTTGCCGGCCTAGGAGTTATCGGCTTCGGTTTTCTTGATGGGTTCAACATAAAATCGCTCACTTCCGACTGCGAAAGATGGAGATAACATCGTTTGGTTCATGTTCAACCTCTTGTCGATGCCGACGTCAAAGTTGTCGGCGCCGACGTCAAAGTTGTCGGCATCGTCAAACGGGTTTTGCCATGAATCCATTTCAGTTTTCGGTTGCCATTTCCAAGGTTCCGTGAAATGGCTGGAGAAACTCTGTAAGAAAGGTGCATTTTGTCTTGTCTTTTGTCCTTTTTGTTTTCCACTTTTTTGGTTTTCCACTTTTCTTACTAGACTTTTTTTTCCACGGTTGAGATATTGACTTTTTCAAACATTGGTGCCACGTCATCATGCTGAAGGAAATTATGTAGTATATTTTGTACATCTAGACTTCTCCTAATCCTAACGAAGAAAGGCAAATACAGGAGAAAAAGGATATCCAGATTCAAGAGTTGAGCCAAAAAATTGGATAAGTTGCAAAAGAGGCTCTCCACCACCCATTTGACATTTCCTCCAATACGCAATACAACAGAGACGGCATGCATGAATAATAATTCAGAAGAGGACCTTCATATGCACATTAATGCCACTTCAGTCCCTTAATTCAATGGCGACACTCCCAACACTTTCTACCACTTCAATCCCCAAGATTCTATCCAGAAAACCCGAATTATTTGAAACCCAAAATAGGGATTTTGTCAAGAAAATCCCACATTCATTTGCTTTGAGAATCGGTGTAGACTACTGCAAAATTAGGTCAACAAGATTGTATGCTGGGCTTTCAGAAATAGAGCCGGACTTGAATGAAGATCCAGTGGACAGGTGGAGGACCAATGGAATTGATTCTGTATGTTTTCTTTTTTGTGATTTTGTATGAATTCATGAGTTTATGTTTTCTTGAATTTGTATTATTTATGCACTTATGGGTGGTTCCGGATTTTGTTGTTGATGTTTGCAGGAAGATTTTAAGTATGGGAAGTATGATGACCATCATACTTACTATGAAGGTGATGATGAAAAAGGTATTGTTCATCCACAATTTTGTTTTCTAATACAATAATAACATGTGTAATATACGCCATTCGACGTTAATTGACTAAGGTTTAGTATTATAGCTCCACCTTGCTGGATGAGCTATAATTGTTTCTTGAGCATTTGAATCTAGATGAACTGTAAATCCTGAATGAAAATTAGGATACAATGAGAATACAAGACAGCAAGGGGGAAATGATTCAGATTGAGGACGACTTAGGTGATTCAGATGTGTTATGAGTAGACCTAAAGAGTCTTCCCTTTGTAAAAGTTAAACAATCTTGGTAAATGTTGATGCTGATTAATGCCATTGGATTCCTAGATGCAGTGTTTAATATCGGAAACTTTAAATATTTCTATTTAGGTTGAAAATTTTATCCTGAATCAGAAGGGGCAAATTTCTCACCAAGAATTATACACGAAAAGATTCTTGGAAACAAGCGAAAATTTTGGTTCTCTAAGTATCATGTAATTGTGATTTTTTTTGTTCCAAATGTGCTTTTTATGCTTCAAAATTTCTATTAATGTAGATGATAAAGACTATAAGCTAATCCTTGCAAAATTTATTTCCAATTCATGCTCTTTAATTTCCAACATCAAATATTGATATAGCGATTCTGTTTGTTATAAAACTTCCATTCCAGGGACATTTTGGGGATCAATTGCAGAAGATTATGCTGCAGTTGGACCTCCTACAGGATTCCAGGGTATCGAAATCATTGCTTAACTTCTGTTAAATTATCAAACCTGCATTTTTTGTCAACTAGATTATATGGTTTGTTTATCTCAGGTTTTATCTCGTGGCTATTCCTTCCATCTATTGCTGCAGGAATGTACTTCAATGTTCCGGTACACAAGAATTGATCTGCAAACTGTTAATTATGTGGAAATATTTATGTAATTTTAATGATTATTATACTCTCCAGACCTCGTTTGATTATTTTTCTAATAGTTTGATTGCTTAACTAGTGTAGAATTCATTCATTTTATGGTTAATATTAAACCTATAAATAGAGTTTTCTTCTCTGTAATGTGTAGACATAACAGATATTATGTTACATAATTCATTTCGATATTACTCTCTCACATTGTTTAAAGTTTCTTAACACAATTTCAGTGTTGCTAAAAGTTAACTAGCTCGTTTCATCTCTGTGCTTCTAGGGGGAATACTTGTACATTGGTGCAGCCATTTTTACTGTCATATTTTGCATAATTGAGATGGATAAGCCAAGTGAACCTCACAACTTCGAACCTCAGATTTACAATATGGAGAGAGGAGCTCGTGACAAGTTGATAGCCGATTACAACACCATGGACATATGGGATTTCAATGAGAAGTACGGGGACCTTTGGGATTTCACTGTAAAGAAGGATGACATCATGAAGAGATAAATAAAATTCAATTTGATCGTGTTGGAGACCAAAAGGTATATACTATTGAATTATCCCATCTAAAAGCTTATGATGTTAAAGAGGAGACACGAGTCCCATTCTAATAGCCTCATTCATGATCTTTTCTACTGGTAGAACTACTACAAGCGGTCTACAGTTTGATCCTTTTTTCTTTCTTCATATTTTAAAGTGGAGCAGAGTCTTTTTATTCCTCCCACTATTGATACGTCAATGGCCTTCATGCCATCTTTCAGTGACTCATAGGTATTTTAAATTAGTGATAAATGCACCTCCTCACATGCATGTCGGATTTCTGACACTTGCATATATTTTAAATGGCTGATGGCAAAACTTCTGCTCTAATACTATGCTTATGTTAAATCACCTCATTTAAAAGCTCAAGTTGTTAGAGTGAGACTACATTTATTTATTCAACTCGTGGTCTCGCTTTCTCTCTTTCCTTCTCTTCTGTGGAATTTACACTCGAACTTTTGCGTAACAACATTCCCCAACTCCTTTCAGACATTGCCGGGATAAGTGATGTTGAGTTTGGATAGCTTGCAGAGTGGAAATTGATGAGGATGTTCTACTCGAAGTTAAAGCTCTAAAGACTTTAGTAGAGTTGGTACAGTTATCCATTGTAATGGGAAATGCCAGAAATCTTGAAGAACCAGTACAGATCTTCCAGCATTTCGAAATTTAGTCTCTTCTTCTATTTAAGCACCACCATGTAAACTGGCTTCCAATTTTAACATGTATATGAAAACAGCTAAATGAAATGAAATCTTTCCTAGATTTCCATGTACAGTTTCTGCAAGATGTAATTACATACATATCTGCATTACTTTTCTAGATACAATTGGAATGAAGACATAACTGCTCGTCTTTTCGAGAAATCTAACTACTGGAAGGGTAGAAGCATGAGATGTAACATATTTTTGCATACTAATTACTACTGTTATCAAGTATGTTATTGACTAGAAATTTATCATGTTAGTTTCTATTAAGTGACTGACTTATCTTCATGCTGTTACTCGGGGATGTTCATTTGCTCGTGTCTTCATCAACATTGCTGTAATTCGTTAATTGCGTATGCACATTGCACCTTTGTTTTCCTTTCGTGCATAAGGATTAAAACTTGATCCGTGTCATCCTTTTATTTATATCTTCTATATATTAAAAATGGCTATGTAACGGAATTACTTGTTTTTAACGGAAAAACTAACGGAATTTGTTGTTTTAACGGACTATGTAACAGAATTTCTTGTTTTAAACAAGTAACCAAGTTAAGTATAAATTAACAATTTGATGATGTAAAATCCTAGTAATATGACCCTAAATAAGCGTACAGGTATTTTAAATTAGTGATAAATGCACCTCCTCACATGCATGTCAGATTTCTGACACTTGCATATATTTTAAATTGTCAAAACTTCTGCTCTAATACTATGCTTATGTTAAATCACCTCATTTAAAAGCTCGTGTTGTTAGAGTGAGACTACATTTAATTATTTAACTCGTGGTCTCGCTTTGTCTCTTTCCTTCTCTTCTGTGGAATTTACACTCGAACTTTTGGGTAACAACATTTCCCAACTCCTTTTAGACATTGCCGGGATAAGTGATGTTGAGTTTGGATAGCTTGCAGAGTGGAAATTGATGAGGATGTTCTACTCGAAGTTAAAGCTCTAAAGACTTTAGTAGAGTTGGTACAGTTATCCATTCTAACAGGAAATGCCAGAAATCTTGAACAACCAGTACAGATCTTCCAGCATTTCGAAATTTAGTCTCTCCTTCTATTTAAGTACCACCATGTAAACTGGCTTCCAATTTTAACATGTATATGAAAACAACTAAATGAAATGAATCTTTCCTAGATTTCCATGTACACTTTCTGCAAAATGTAATTACATACATATCTGCATTACTTTTCTAGATATAATTGGAATGAAGACATAACTGCTCGTCTTTTCGAGAAATCTAACTACTGGAAGGGTAGAAGCATGAGATATAACATACTTTTGCATACTAATTACTACTGTTATCAAGTATGTTATTGACTAGAAATTTATCATGTTAGTTGACTGACTTATCTTCATCCTGTTACTCGGGGATGTTCATTTGCTCGTATCTTCATCAACATTGCTGTAATTCGTTAATTGCGTATGCACATTGCACCTTTGTTTTCCTTTCGTGCATAAGGATTAAAACTTGATCCCTGTCATCCTTTTATATATATTTATTTATTTATTTATTTATTTTAAAAAGAGTAACATTATTTAGTACCATTGTTGTTAAAACATCAATCGGGTGGCACTAATATGACATTAAATGAGAAGTATAATTAAATAATCACTTAATTCTACATTTCATTGAGCCTATAATTTAACGTCACCCAATCTGCTGTTCTAGCACCCATGGTATATTACGTAGCATATTCATATTAAAATGGTGCAAAATTGTAACTTTGCCAGTAAAATTACTCGACTGGTCATCTGTAGAATGTGCGGATGCAATATTTTATAAGCTTATCTACTACTGGCCTGCATTTTCTTGTGACATTTTAGCATGTGCCATGTAAAAATAATTGAGCCATTTTGAGGGTAAAATCTTTGTTCTATTCTCTAATTAGAATATGACTAACATTCGTGTGGACTCCGGCATGTACATGAACTTTTACAATTATCTCTCCGAAACCATTAATCTCCGGACCCACTATTCACTTATCATTTTAGAGGACCGGGATGGTCAGCACATGACTTGTATGATACGTTAGACTCTAGGGGACATTTTAATCGAAACCTAACCTTTCGAATCCTGTTCAAAAATGAAAAAAAGTTAGGAATTGAAACTGAGAAATGACCAAGTTTGAGTCAGTTCTTGGTTCTTGAACCGAAATTGTGGGTATCCAACTCCGTAATCGAATTTGTCATTTTTTTTTTATAATTTTTTATTTTTTACAATTTATTCTCCTTGACTCCATGACTTGATTGCAAATTTTAAGTAGTAATTACCCCAATAAATCTGATTCATTCATTTGAATAATTCAATCATATCATTTTCATTCATAGCTACTCGTGATTGCAATTTACGCATTGTCCGCCCCACAATCCTTTATGAGGTGTCAAACATAGAGCCGAAGCCAGAATTATATTCTATTATGCTAGATAATTGATGCTATTTGATTGAATATTTGAGTGAAATGTCTTTGGTATCATATTTTATCTCTTCCATTTTTCTACTAGATATTGGGAATTTAATTTGCATTGTCAACTCATGATTTTTTTTAACAAGAATATTGTGGGTAGAATTGAATTCGAAACGAAATCGATAGTTTGGGTTCACATTTGTTCCAGTAATTACATGGAACAGAATAATTCAATTTACAATATATTCGAAGTTTAATGAAGGTTTCGGCTATTGAAACACTCAAATCGACCCACCTGACATCTATGCTTATTGGATTCTATTGGATTGTGCAGCGTAGATACCAACGTTTGTGATGTCTCCCTCTTTGACGAGGAATTAGTCGTGATTGATTGAGTGACCCTGACTTTATCACGTTAGTTTAACCCACTTCTCCCTTTTCAAATCACTAGTCAACATTGAAAGTGTGCTGTACATTATTATGAAATGCTTTACAAATGGTATAAAAGTCATATTTGAATATGCGTGAATGTTAATTAATTTAGAATTAATATCAGGGAATATATGTGTGATAGTGAATGTTAAATCATTTATTTAATTTTTAATTAATTAAAATTGAATGTTAATTAGCATATATGGGTATGAATAATGAAATGCATTCTTTAATTTGAAATTCTAATTAACTTATAATTAGAATTAATAATACTGAAACACATAAATGAAGATAAATATTAATTAAATGAATGTAAATGTTAATTAATTGAGAATTAATAATATGAAATTCATACATTAATGAAAGCAGACGTGAAATGAGTCTGTTAAATTTACATGTACATTTATGGTAACTAAATGGTTAAATAAATTAAATACATATTTAAAAAAGAAAAGTAAGATATTATTGAAATAATTGAATTATGGTATAACAAAAATCGTCCAAAAAATGATTATTGCTTGATGTGGTATTTAGTTTCAGTTAAATAAAATTGGATGTTAATTAGCATACATGGACGTTAATAATGAAATGCATTATTAAGTGTGAAATTCTAATTATAATTAACTTATAATTAGAATTAATAATACCGAAATGCATAAATGAAGATGAATATTAATTAAATGAATGTGAATGATAATTAATTTAGAATTAATGATAAAAATTCGTACATTATTGAAAAACACGCTGGTAAAATGAATCTATCAAAAGTATAGTAAATTGATGTTAACTAAATTATTAAATAAATTAAATACAAATTGAAAAACGAAAAGTAATGTATTATTGAAATAATTAAATTATAGTAGAGTTAGAATCGTCAAAAAATAATTATCACTTGATGTGATAATATCTTCAATTGAGATTGTGATGAATTTTAAAAATCCTTCTAAATTTAGGTGTCTTCAATTGAGATTTTAATGAAATTCAGTAAAGTCTCGAGTTCAAACAAGAAAAGTAATCAATCACTGGCCATCTTAAGGTTAGAACAAGCATTTTTCTCAATTGTTGGAGAGATTTCGGTGAAGAATGAAAGTGTTGTGAAATTTGAATTGGGTTACTGTGAGATTTTTTTTGTTTTTTTGGTAATTGGAAGGTATTCATCTCTTACCTTAGCTTATTTTGATAATTTTTAAATATTAAGAAGGGCATTTTTATTGTTTTCTTTAAAAGAGGCACTCAACACTTAAAATTTACTTGCTATATGTATATTATGGATGACATTAAATTTTAACATTGTTTGATGTGATAGAATCATGGTCATTGATTTTAAATGCACACTTTCAGATCACTGTCTAGATTTCTTACAAGTAGAAGGAAGTCATCCACAATGTACAAGTAGATTAATTATAAAATTTATAGGTTAGGCTTGTTGTCTAATTGACACCCTTGACTATACCATCTTCCTTCTTCGCCCTTTATTATCATTTTTAGCTCCTGATTAGTTTTGTTAAAAATTAAATTTTTAGTAAATTTTGATAAATATTGATGAAATGTGTGCTTGATCGTTAAGGATCGCAAAAAATGTGTGTTTTAAATTAATTATTGATTGTGAATTAATTTTTTATCAATTTTCTCAATTAAATCAAACCCGCACTTTAATTTCATTCAATCAAGCGTATCAAAAATGCCCTTAATGTTCTTGGTCAAGATCTCAATCGAACGCACTAAAAATATAATTGAAGTCATGATCATGACTTCATAGTGGACTTGGACTATATGGAAACTTGACTTATCTATATTGATTTGATCTTTCACCTATATATGAACTGTTAGTAGCATTTCATTTAAGATTTAAGAAGACAGCCAATCAAAATTGATGAACAATTTCCAAACACCACATTAGAGAATCCTTTCAAACGTTGAACTAATTGCAAATTAAAGCATAAAACGGCATCGTTTTGGACTAAGGAACATGAACTAAAAGTCATGAAATTTTTTCTCATTCTCTGCATTTATGACGAGATTACTTAGAATTGTGGACAGTTATAATCAAGTCAAAATTTTCAAAACGCGTTTTGGGTGTTTTCAATCACCGCCAACCACCAGAGAGAGAGAGAGAGAGAGAGAGAGAGAGTAAACGGGTTTTTCATTTTTTTTTTATTTTTGAAAATAATTTTCAAAATGTCAAAAAGAACATATTTTCAACAATTTCAAAATCAAAACACAAAATTGAAATATAAAAAGAACAGTCCCTAAATTTTTATAAATAGAAGACAACAGGACTGCACTGGAAATTCTTAGTCATCTAATTTAATATTAAAGTTCAAATTTATAAAAATGCTTACCGATTTAACGCATGCAATTGACTCGAGATAAAGTATGTCTCAACAATTTAATTTTTTTGGTTAATTTTCTTCAAAAAAAAGTAAAAAACAAAAAAAATTAAACAAGAATCACTCGAAAAGGCTTATGGGTTTAAAATCGAGTCTAACATGTTTTGTTCTCTCTAAATCGAACAACTTATTAAACAAATTGTTACGAAACATATTAAATCAATTATATATGGGACAACTTTAAAGTGGCCTTGCCTAACTTTTTATCACCTCTAAATAAATGGGTATAACTTCATGAAACGTCGTCTCTTGTGACTTGTTCAAAGTAATCCACCGTATAAAACAAAACAGTTTACCAGGATTTCTTCCAGGTGGGACCATCATGGAAAATATTCAATCTAGCATTAATGATCATTTAAGAGTGTGTTTGCCTGCTTATAAGTAAATCAAATATTATTGCCAAGGATAAGTAAAATAAACATGTTGCAGAAATAATTAAAATTAGAAGATGTTTGGCTGCTTTTAAAAGAGATTTTCCAATGGCTTTTCTCAATAGCACGTAGAGAGACATTTTGCTAAGGAAAACAATTAAGAAAGCTATTTTTAAGTACGACCAATCATGCTGCTTGAGGAGTATAAACATCTCTCTCGATTGTAGGTAGAGAGACATGTCGTTTATTTTTAATTACCACTAAACATTCTGCTAGCCAAACAAGTCTATAGATGTAAGGAACAAAAAATCTTCCGATAGCATGTAGAGACATGTTGTTAAGAATAAAAATTAAAAAAAACAGTTTTTAAGTAAGACAAATATTCTATTAGCTGAAAAAGTCGATAAGTGTAAAGAGCAAAAACATCTCCCAATAGCATATACAGACATCTGGTCAAGCAAGATAGTTAAAAAGGATATTTTTAAGTATGATCAAACATTATGCTAACCAAACAGGCCTTACGTGTGAGGAACGTGAGCACTCTCCATTACATGTACTTGTAGACAATACGACCAAACATACTACTAGTCAAATGAGTCGTGAGCCATTGGTATGGAGAAAGTAAGCATCTCTCAATAGCATGTAGAGACATTATCAATATTAATGATTTGGAATTTCATCTTAAAAGTTAACTTTGTTAAGAGAAGTAATTCAATTTCTCGTATATTGATCTATATTTATAGTAATCCTTCGATGTGATATTTATGGGTTCCGATATAATATTACGACTTTGAGTTCCATATTAAAGGTCAACTTTATTAAGATGAGTAATTCAATCTCTTATATGTTGATTTATATTTTAATAATTATCGACGTCGGATTTATTCGAAAAACAATGAAAAAGGAAATCGCTTCAGTACAGCCAAACAGGCTACTAGCCAAACAAGCCTTCGCTGCGAGGAACAGGAGCATCTTGACCAGAATCTTGCTATATAAATTTCTTTAGCTCTGTGTACTTAAACCACCACTCTAATCACTTTCAAGAACCAAAAAAAAAAAAATGAAAATCAAATCTTTCTATGAATTCCCTCTGTTTTTCCTCTTCTTTTTCTTGTTCTGCAACCAGTATTTACGCCCCATACAAGCCCAGTCAAGCACCATAGGTTATCCCTGCACCAGACAGTCCTTTAACTCCTGCAGAACTTATGCCTTCTACAGAGCTATGGCTCCAGATTTTCTTGATTTGGCCTCCATAGGTGATCTCTTCTCAATAAGCCGCCTCAAGATTTCAATTCCTAGTAATATTTCTTCCCCAAATGCCACTTTGATTCCTGATCAATCCCTCTTTGTTCCCATAGATTGTTCTTGTAATACTGTGAATTCTAGCATTACAATTTCTTATGCAGGGTTAAACTACACCATAAAAAGTGGTGACACCTTCTATGGTGTGTCAACCCACCATTTCCAAAATCTTACAACTTATCAATCTGTTGAAGTTGTAAATCCAACCCTAATCGCTACACGCCTAGATATAGGTGTTAATGTAGTTTTTCCAATATTTTGTAAGTGCCCTAACTCAACCCAGTTGGAAAATGGTGTGAATTTTCTCATCAGTTATGTTTTTCAGCCATCTGATAACTTGAGTGCAATTGCATCAAGGTTTGGATCCACAACACAGTCTATAATTGATGTAAATGGGAATAATATTAGGCCAAACGACACAGTTTTTGTTCCGGTATCTCGGCTTCCTAATATTACACAGCCTATCGTTCCTCCTCTTGTTACAGGGAGTGGGAGGAAAACTGAAAGAAAAGGTGCCATCATAGGATTGGGAATTGGGTTGGGAATTTGTGGGCTGCTGCTGATTTTGGTTTGTGGATTGTGGTTTTATAGAGAGGGTTTGATGAAGAAAAGGGAAAGAAAATATAGAGATGAAGAGAAACATAAATTTGATAAAAGAAGGAAGGGATTCACGAAGGGTGAAGAGGTGAATTTGATGGCTGATGTTTCAGGTTGCTTAGATAAGTATAAAGTATATGGAATAGATGAATTAAGGGCAGCAACAGACGAATTCGACGAAAGATGTATTATTCAAGGATCAGTTTACAAAGGCAGTATTGATGGAGAATTGTATGCAATCAAGAAAATGAAATGGAATGCCTATGAGGAACTCAAGATCTTACAGAAGGTGAATTTTACATGTATCCCACAGTTCTCATTCATTTCAATTTCTCAAATTTTACCACTTTTGCTGAGAATGGATCCATGTAGTCACCCCAATTTTTTGAGAACAATACTTCGTTTGTTGTCATTATTTACTGTTTCTGAAAAGAGTCCTTTGTGCAGATTTTTACTTGTTCTGGTTTAGCAATTACCTAATGGTTTGGCAATTGACTTTTTGGTATTAAGATCTAGACAAATTATCAAAAATAATTAGTATTACTGGTGAAGATGGGAAGAGGTTTAAGTGGACAACAGGGTGGTAATTTTCAGGCTGTTTTGTAGGAAGATATTATAGAGTAATACATTTACTAATCACAAACAAACTAATGGTTAGGTTTGATGACATTTCTTAATCTGCAGAATCATGGTATTTAAGAATACAATTTGGTTTATAAAATAAGAAATGATGCAAAAAGGGCTGTCATCCTCATATTTTTCTTTGAATTTAATTTAGGGAGAAAACAGCCGCCTTCTTAGCTCAGTTTATTTTGACCATATTTTTTTTTTCTCTGTGGTGGGGGAGGTTGGGAGATTCTACCAGCAGGAGAGTACACAGAAGATGATTGGCAGTTCACATGTCATGATTAGTAAATTTTATATATAATCAAATTGTCAGTTTTACTGATTTAAACCTAGCCGTTGTACTCTAATTTAACTGCTTATTTTCTTCATCAATGCAAACGTGGCCAGGACGACTTCATCCTTAAATTGACTGATGAACCCGTGAATCATGAATTAACAATCCACTGCCTTGATCCAAGAGTAAATTTTAATGACTTGGCTATTTTGTAGGTGAACCATGGGAACTTGGTCAGGCTAGAGGGATTCTGCATAGACCCTGAAGAAGCGAATTGCTACCTCGTCTACGAATATGTCGAAAATGGTTCACTTCACTCGTGGCTTCATGAAAACAAGAACGAGAAGTTGAGCTGGAAAACAAGATTAAGAATTGCCATTGATGTGGCAAATGGTCTCCAATACATCCATGAACACACGAGACCGAAAGTTGTGCACAAAGACGTCAAAAGCAGCAACATTCTATTGGACTCGAACATGAGGGCCAAAATTGCCAATTTCGGGCTTGCAAAATCGGGCTGCAATGCCATAACAATGCACATAGTAGGAACACAAGGTTACATTGCTCCAGAGTACCTTTCTGATGGAGTGGTTTCAACTAAAATGGATGTTTTCTCTTTTGGTGTGGTGTTACTTGAGCTTGTTTCCGGTAGAGAAGCCACTGATGAAGAAGGGAACGTTCTATGGACTAGTGTGAATGGAATTTTGGATGGAAAGGAGGAACGAAGGATGAAGAGGTTGAGAGAATGGATGGACAGTAATCTTTTAAACGAGTCATGCTCAATGGGTAGTGTTATGAGTGTAATGGCCGTTGCTGTTGCTTGTTTGCACAAGGATCCTTCGAAGAGGCCTAGTATGGTGGAAATTGTCTATGCATTGTCTAAGAGTGATGATTTGTTCTTTGAAGTCTCCGAGGATGGACTTTCTCCTCGACAAGTGCTTGCAAGGTAGATTGAGATGGTAGTAGTTAAAGTCTGGCTCATGTAGTAATAATTTGTATTGCGATAATATGTAAATTTATGTCTCGAGTTATTGTTAAGTTTAAGGGTCATGAGTGTGTATCTTTTGAAGTTCTCTTTTTGTCGTGCTGCACTTTTTTCACTTCCCTATGTAGTATGTACCATATGAAAATACGAAAGAATAATGTTTGATTTATAATTGATCACAGTTCTTCATCTGATGCATAGGTAGATTACATGTAGGCAAATACAGTTATACACACTAGAAGTGAGTGGTCTGTACTAATGTATAGGCCTAATTCGAATGGGCCAACCGGGTTCTTGAAGATTACATATGTTCTTATAAACTTTCCATTAATGTTTCTTGAAGCCTTTTAATGTCGGGGGTCTGTGAATAACAGTCGAATTAACGCCGAGAGGGCAACTTCAACATGTTGAAATTTGACATGGCTAGTTTTGGGAAGATTTCAAAAATCACTTCTTTACTTTTCTTTAGGAAAAATTGCAGCAGCGGTCCCTAACCTTTTACTTTTTAACAAACTTTACCATAACCTTCAATTTATGCTAACGATGGTCACAAACCTTTGAGAAATTAGTAACTAGGATCCAAATAGATGGAATCCATCAATTTGACTATCGTTGACCAACGAAGTTGATTTGACCAAAATATAAAGTAAATAAAATAAATAAATAAAAGGTTTCTCTCTATGTCTATCTATTTCTTGCCCCCACACCCAACACCAGCACCACATGCACCCAACGTCGACACAAATGCCACCCAACGTTGGGGCCATTGCCAAATTTCTTGGACGATGGGTTTTCTGCAAATATTTTCCTCTGCAGCACCCAAGTGAATGGAGCCCAACCACAACACAAGTGCCAATGTTGTGTGGAATGTTGATCTCGACGTCCCCTTCAACTTTGGCTCTCAATCAAGAACTGTACGTGATGCGAACCCACATAGCAATTGAAGTTACGAAACTCACGCAAGATTGATTCAACCCAAGAAAGCCAAGAATCAACGTTTGAAAGCTCGACCCTATAAATTAAATCAAAGAACCAACATAAGCGCCAACAATATGTTGACCACGTGATCACAAAACTTATGAACTTTACTTAATTTGATGAACACCACAAGAACTTAATTCTTGATAAGTTCAGAATTAGTTCGATGAAGAATAAGAAAAAATCAATGTCTTTCAATTAATCTCTCAATAAATTGTGTGTCTTTACAATGAATGAAATGTGCCCTATTTATAAGGAACCCATAAAACCTACTTAAAAACGGAATTAAGTCTTAAAATATATAAAAAAAAATATATATACCATACAAGAGTTTTAACTAAAATAGAAGATTACGTGGAATTTGAAAAAATTACGTCCAGAATTGCACTATACGGTCGCATGACATAAGTTTACCATTGCTTGGTACTCTGCTTCTGCACATGATCTAGATACAACTCCTTGCTTTGCAGAATTTAATGATATCAAGGAGGACCCTATAAACAAACCACCTCTTTGTGTCCTGACACGCCCTCCAATCCGAATCAAAATAACTTGTTAACTGTAAATTTGATTTAGTAGGATAAAATAGGCTTTGTTCTAACATACCTTAGAACTTTATGTGTTGTATTAAGATGAGTGACTCTAGGGTTGTCCATGAATTGGCTTAGCAGCTGCACTGAATAGGATAGATCAAGCCTCTTTATAGTCAAGTATAGCAATCTTCCGATTAGTCTTCTATAGAATGATGGTTCATGAAAAAAAATCCCTTGGAAAGTTTGAGTTTCTAATCAAAAGGAATTCTAGCTGGTGTTGCACTAATTTTACATGAGTCTGCCAATATGTAGGGCATATTTCCTTTGGTGTATTTGAATACCTCAGTTTGACTTGGCCACCTCAATGCCAAGAAAGTAGTTGATTTTTCCTAATTCCTTGATTTTGAACTTATCATGAAGAGAGACTTTGAGAGAATTGATAGTCTATACAACTGCAGACCACTATAATATCAATGACATATAAGAGGATTACGGTGAAAGAATGCTCTGTAGTCTTTGTAAATAAGTTTTAATCTACTTTGGTCTATGTGAAACATTTCTTAATGATGAAGTTATATAGCTTAGAGTATTATTGTTTAGAGGCCTGTTTAAGGCCATACAAACTTTTCTTTAATTTGAAAACTTTTAATCTATAGTCAATGGGATAACGCGAAGATAATTGCATGTACACTTCCTCATCTAAATCTCCATGTAGAAAAGCATAGTTCACATCAAACTGGTACAAGTGCCATCTCTTTAAAGTCACCACAGTCAAGAGAGTCCTCACATCAACTAGTTTTTGTCACGGGATAAAGTCTTATGGTAGTTTATTGTGTGTGTATTCCTTAGCCATTAACTTGGCTTTGTACCTCTCTATGCTTTCATCTGTATTAAACTTAATCTTATAAATTCATTTTCATCATATTGTTTCCTTATCAGAAGGTAGATTAGTAGTAACAACCCAAGTATCATTCAATTCAAGAGCATCTATTTCAGCTTTCATGATATTACACCACTCAAGAGAATCTATTGCTTCATTAAAGTTTCTAGGCTTTGTGTGTGCGCGCTAATGGAAACAACAAAAGCTTTGTATTTTGTAGAGAGCTTATGATGAGATAAACTGGCCTCAAGAGGAAAGGGTGTTGGGAATTCACTGACTAACGTAAACATCAATACACAGTAAACATGCTCATAATAATAGACTCTAAACACAACATCAGAATTCCAGCAACTCATACACAATGACAGTTCAATGCTAATTCCAGAACTCCAACCTCAATGATAGAGTTTAAACATAATCTCATAAATTCAGCATCACCAACTTGTAATCAAACGTGTACCAATGGCATTAACAGGATATATCAAACATAGCAGAGTACAACACAAGTGATTAAATGATTTCAACTATATGTATACTGCATAAGAACACGAAACTGAAAGCCAAAAATATAGCATGTACAGAACACAGAAATGACAGAAAACCAAAGCTTTATAAACGGGATAGAAGACTCCCCTATCAACGGTGCAGCTTCCCTTTCTTTTTGGTCGAGCCCTTGTGCACCACTTCCCCTTTAATGGCTGGAGCGTTCAGGCTCAGGAACAGCCATCCTACGCTTGCAATCCACCATCCAGAGAGAAAGAGAACTTCAGAAAAACCCTCGGTGAAGAATTGGTTTGGTCATTGATCGAGGAGGATCTCCCAAACGGCCACTGAGTCTACCAAAAGACTTAGAGGAAGATGCCAATATTCTAGCCACTATCTCAGGCCTAGAAACCCCAAGGTATCACTCTCTAAGTCACCGGTTTTCACCCACACACAGAGAACCCCCAAGGAAGAGAAGCCAGGAACCCAAAGTCGAGAGGAAGGAAGAAGAAGAAGTCGTGTATGGGAAGCCAATGTTATATCAAGAAAATATCTAACCAAGAATAAAGCCCAGCCATGGATTAAAATCCAAGGGTCAAGAATGGTTCCAATAAAACACACAATCCGGGTTAATTTAAAGTCACCAATAAGTGAGTGTCACTTAAGCAACTAAAAGAATGGGTAATAAACCAGCCCAACAAGTTAGGAGAACCACAAAGAGGCCCAATAAACTTACATTCTTCACCTTGGTTCTCATAAATCTCTCACTCGATTGCGAGATTGCACATGGAATGACTGTTCATCATCATCGCCCACTACCTGCAAGAAAAATTAACCAGTATCAATATGCAGCAAAGATAAGTATAATTTAAATTTTCCTACAGGTAGAATTTTAGTTCCCACATCAGATGGATTCCTATCAGTGTGAATCTTAACAAGTTCGACTTCACCTTGAGAAAGCTTCTCACGTATAAAATGATACTCCACCTCAATATGTTTGGATCTCTCATGATAAACAGGGTTCTTACTAAGTGACAACGCACTTTGACTATCCGTAAACATAATAGGTGTATCATGCATGAAGTTCAATTCTTTTAAGATTCTCTTTAACCACACACATTCCTTAACTGCCTCGGTTATGGCAACGTATTCAGGTTTAGTACTAGACAGAGTCACTAAGTATTGCAGCTGAGATTTCCAAGTTATGCAATTATCACCTAGGGTAAAGAAGTATACGGTAGTTGATTTCCTACTGTCTTTATCACCAGCAAAGTCAGCATCAACGTAGCCCTTAAGAGTCAACTCCTCAGATCTTTTCTCATACACTAAGCCTAGATTTAAAGTCCCAACTAAATATCTTAATAACCATTTCATACCCGCCCAATGTGGCTTACCAGGGTTGGACATAAATCTACTTAGGAGACTGATGGAAAATGCAAGATCAGGTCTGGTAGTAATCATAGAAAACATGACAGAACCTATGGCATTAGCATACGGAATATTTTCCATCTCTTTTAATTCAGATTCGGATTTAGGCGAATGATCACGTGAAAAATTCATATGGCTAGCAAGAGGCACATTAACAATTTTACTGTCTTTCATTCCAAATTTAGTTACAACTTTGTTCAAGTACGCTTCTTGTGAAATTGTTAACTTGTTCTTAGCCCTATCCCTTGTTATCACCATCCCTAGAATCTTTCTAGCATTCCCTAAATCCTTCATGTCAAATTTCGATTTTAAAAGATCTTTCAGTTCATTAATTTGAACCTTGCTAGATCCAGCTAATAGCATATCATCGACATAAAGCAACAAGTAGACTTCACAACCACTCTTTATGTCATTAAAATACAAGCAAGCATCAAATTCACTTCTCTTAAACCCTATCTTCAGTAAAAAGGCATCAAACCTCTTGTATCATTGTCTTGGGCTCTGTTTCAGCCCGTACAAAGATTTCTCCAACTTGTACACATACTCAGACTTACCTCTACCTACAAACCCTTGTGGTTGGCTCATGAAGATATCATCTTCCAACTCTCCGTGTAAAAATGCAGTTTTTACATCGAATTGTTCAAGTTCCCAATTGAATTGAAC